TATTCACGTCACTTCTGTACGTCTATGTTCATCTAGTTTGCTCCTTTCTGTCAATATGTTTGACCCTACATGTCTGATACGCCTGTTCATTCTTTTCTATTTATATGCTGAATTGCAGAATCATGATTCCTTCTTGATTGATCTTGATTTCTTCACGTTATGGTTTGATTGTAAGGTTTTCTTATAAACCCCTAATTTTACTCGTTTGATTAAGTTAATTGATTCCCATTCCTTTATTTGCTGTTTCACCCCTGTTGAACCCTTTCCCCAAATTAAGTATATTATGTACTTAGACTCAATTGCATACTCTATATTCTTACTATCCCTTATATGGTCAGAAATCAATATTCTTCAAATTGATTTTTCTTTCCTTAATTATCCTGTTAGTATCCGTTAAGCAGTAATTCCTTGATTAAAGGGAAGTACTTGTACTAATGGGATTCTGATTGTGATTATTTCCATACTTGTGTTAAAACTTTACTTGTTACCTTATTTTCTACTCGTTTTCAAAGTTATAAATACCCTACCCTCTCTTCTCTAGACACAGGAACAACTGAGTTCAAAACACACACTTACACATTCAAACTCTCTTTCTTTCTCTACTACTTGTGCTCCTGCTTTGTCTAGCCGGCTGAAAGCCAAGGCTAGACTGTGGAATTCTGATTGCTTTACTTTTCTTTTCCTGCACTTTGCTTCTTCAACTGGTATGTCCCTAGTTTAAGTTCTGAAACTCAAACCTATGTGTTCCCTTGTTGTCGACCATTGTCTCTTTCTGCACTAGCTTAATGGCTCATGCTATTGCACTTTTTTACTGCTTTACTCAACATGCTTAAAATTCTGCCCTCTTTTGTTCAAATATGTTTACTTGTTCCTGCTTGTGTCCCTCAACTAGCATGTCTTCTAATGTACTTGATTCATGACTAATTATGTGTTTCTGTTTTGGGTCTTCTATGTCCCCAACCCCCTACTCCCTGTTTGTAACTGCTGAAGCATGTACCCCTCCCTGAACTTGTTCTGTGGTTTGTCCCTTGCTCCCTTTCAAAACTCTTCTGCTGTTCTACAAACTTATCTCACACATGTTTTTTTTAAAACTATTTCAAGCACTCTCACATGCACTCTTAGATCATTAGGTTCTGCCCCTCTTGTGTGAGCCTTGCTTTGGGGACCCTTGAGCTCCCTCTGAACCTGGACACATAAGGGCTGGCCCTTCCACACTGCACCTACTCTTGGTTATGCAATCTGGGTGTGAGCACTGCCCGGGATCCCTTGAGGTCCTTAGGAAACTTTGACACACCTAGGTATGAGGGAAAGCTTTGGAACAATATTAGCATTTGAGGTGGTTTATTACGTAACTCAGAGAGGAAGTCAGAATCAGGCTTCCTATAGTTGTAAGTTCTTCTTTTTATTTATTTATTTCTGCTTATGTAATTCAATCACATAGTTTGTAAACAAGTACTGGGGTCGCTAGTAAAAAGGGATGGGGAAATATGCATGTTATAGTGTCAAAGGGTAGAAAGCACGTCATTAGGTTTATATTCCTAATTGTGCAATAGAAACCATATTTAGGATTCATTATGCATTAGAAATCATGCTCTTAGGACCTTTGTTTCTCGCTTCAGCACTTCATTCATTAGTCCATGCTTTATCACTTAGAAATCCTGCTCCTAGGGCAATAACAACACCGGTTAAAAGGCTGTTATTTCAAAATCCTGTAACTCTTATGTACATTTAGAAATCATGCCTTAGGGATTCTGTTTTTTCACAACCTTGCAATTTGCATATTAGATACCATGTTCTAGTATCATGTTTGCATTTTGCTTAAAAACGCCTAGTTAATTACTGATTCATGAGAAGGTAGTAAAGTAATAATTTTCATATTATGATGCTTCTGAATAAAATTGGTAACCATCTCTGCAACTAGAACAGCATGCTCTTAGGGTAAAATAATCTCCAAACTGCTCTTAATAACTTGGGATAACTGTTGTATATCGCTTTACGCCTAGGCAAGCCTTAGGTAATAACTTTAATAAAACCGGAACTGCCTTTGTTTAATTATTAACTGTTAAAATCAGTAGGCAAACCTGATTTAGATTTCTTTTCTGAGTCATGTGATAAATTTGGTTCTGATGTTATCACTCAAACACCCTACTTTAGGATTTTAAATTCAGACCTTAATTGTGTATAAGTCATGCTGTCTATGTGCATTATCTGGGGAGGTATATCTGAACCTTCTATTTGTTTTCTGTGTTTTCCCCCTTTAAATGCAGTCCTACCTGTTTTGTATGTCGCCTTAGTATTTTGCCTCTAAACCTGAGGGTCTGCCTAGAACCTCCTTCTTATAGGATAAGAGTCCTAACCTCCGGGACTGATAGGAAGGGACGGGTAACAGCATGCAATAAGAATCGAGACCAACCCTCGCTTTAATTACCTTCACGGGGTGGGAAAGGGTAGATATGGATATGATGATCGGTGCGCTAATGCCACGCGTAGCCCCTTTCTAAGGAGTGATTACCGGACATTGTACTGATGTGATCCATATTACAAACAAACTTAGGACCCCTTTTACATTCATAAGCATGCTTAGATTATAACTCTTTTCAAAACCTTGCTTTTTTTTATTAATCGCTTTTCAAACGCTTGTGTATTTTAACCTAAATCCCCTACTATGTGAGCCTCACTTATCTATTTCCTAATTGCACAATTCACAAAAACTGTCTGGCCGGGAACCACACTAGTGGATCCTAAGGGGTGCCTAACACTTTCCCCTTAGGATAATTTCAAGCCCTTACCCTATCTCTGGTTATCAAATGTAGTTGTAGATAAACTCTGTAGGTGCCCTAATGCACCTTAAAAATCGTTAGGTGGCGACTCTTCAAAAACGCAATACCCAATTCCCAAAAGGAAATGAGTCATTACACCTCCATGAATGTCGAAACCTGGACTCCTCTCCGCGGAGGGAAAAAGGGGGCGCGACAACTATCCTTCGCAAAAATCCCAAAGAGGTTATGCGACGAGTATGCGGCCCGCAATTCAATTATGCGATCGCATAACTGGCCGCATAGTTGTCCTCAAAATTAGCCAACCTTCTGCCTCACTCTGCGGCAACTATGCGGTCCGCATAGTTATTATGCGGCCGCATAATGGGCCGCAGAAACGCGCTCTTCTGAAAAATATTTTTCCTTAACTTTTTAATGCACAGATCAATCCAAAAAGTCCGAACCGCGGCTAACACATATTCCTAACTTGGCACTACGAGATTTCGGGTCTTTGAGTAACAATTTCATAAGGCCTTACACCCCGGCATGGGCCTTGACAAAAGAATTCGCGAGCATCTCGAAAGAATCTATTGAGTGCTCCGGCAAAAGTGAATACCATGTTAGGGCCCCTTTTATGAGGGTCTCCCCGAACTTCTTCAACAAGACTAATTCAATCTCGTGCGGAGGTGATATGCTCCTGAGGATCCAAAGTCCCATCATATTTTGGCATGTCTGGCATTTTAAATCGCTTCGAAATCAACTCCGGTGCCGCGCTTGGTTTGAACGGCAACTGGGTGTACTTTTTTGAGTCTGATCCTTTCGACACCGGTGGTGTGCCCGGGATTTGATCAATTCGGATGTTTATTCCCCTCGTAAACTGCATGAGTTTGATTTTAAAGGGATCATTCTTGTTGTTGTTATCGGATCCACCACCGTTTCCTCCGGCCCTGTCAAAGCCGTCCTCACCTTACTGAGTGTTGTCATCAACCCTTTGCTGTTTGGTTTATGGGAGCACTGGGAGGAACTGGACCTTTACCATTTGCATTGTTGGAGGCACCCGACAACGCTTGCTTCAACTCCGTCATGACCTGATCCTGTCGCGAGAGATGGGCCATAATAGCCCTTTGTTGCTCCCTTAAGATTTTTACCGTTTCCACAACGTGCTCGTCTTCAGCATCATCAAGACTTGCCTCTCGAACATGTTGTGGATATTGCTTGCCATGGACCGGAGTGGCTACGCCCTCCTCATTGCGAGTATCGCTGATCGAATTTTTGTGCTAAGGCTGATTTCCTTGGGCCTCAACATTGTGTGTGATGTTGACGCCGTTATCTGCCATCTTTTATGATTTTTCTCTAAGAAACAAAGAAGTAAGCAGGTTAGTAATAGATGCAAGGATCAATCCAATTACGCAGCTATCTAAGCCCCATGGTGGGCGCCAAACTGTTTACCCATAAAACGGTACAGTTGAATTTATACGTTGTTTAATAGACAAGCGAATCGATTTGATCTCAAAATGATAAATTTTGTCAGAAAAATCCTCCCCTTATAATGGTTGTTGAAATCCCTATTTATAGTGGCACCTAGGGAACAAGGTCCTAGGATCAAGCCCTCTTAAATGACAATTATGAGGGTCATTGAAGAATGTGTAACAGTAGGCTATGAATGTCATATTCTCTATAACGGACTATGTATTTAATACCGCAGAATATTCTTCATTGAATGCTATCAGGTGACGGGCATTCATCTGTCTTTATGAGCAATATTCCCTTTGGAGCTTCCCGGTGCCAACCGAGACTGCCGCCTCTGGTCTTGACTTCCACCTATCTCGCTTTCCATCTGGTTCCACGTATCACTTTATTATACGAGCATTTAATATGAACCGATTTTATCCTATACAAAAGAGTTACTAAAATAATAGCATTATTTCTAAGATAGCATAAAAAATTTAAAATACAAAATGTCACCATATAAATTTTAAAATATTAGAGTATTATTTGGCCCAAGAAAGTGTGAAATGAAGAAATCAATAATATTGATTATGTGAAACATAGCGTGGCAAGACGGATATTCACACGGAAGTACAGTTGCATCCGTAGAAATTGTGTTTTTTAAGCTTTGGACCGTAGAACTATAATATGCCACGTGCGTATTTGAATGTGCTCATTTGTCGCTCATTCCATTTTAGGTAACAATAATAATAATTCACTCTTGCAAAGCTATTGTGGGCTTAGTCATCACGCGAAAAAAGTAGAAATAAATAAATAAATAAAACCATAATTCATAGGGGAAAGTTCAAAGTCTTCTTCTTCCTTGCCCTTCCACTCTTTTCCTTTCTGTGGTTATCTCTCAAAACCCCAAATTCCTCTTATCAACTTATTCTTTGATCTGTGCCTTATTTAACTGAAGCTGCTTTGAGGTAATTTATTATTACTCGCATGGTTTTGTGAATTTGTTCAATTTTAATTACTGGGTATCGGAAATTGAGCTTCTTTTACTAATTGGAGGACTGGCTTTTCTTTTCCCCTTCTTGTAGTTCAAATTATTGAGTATCTGCGTGACTCAGATGTGACCTTACAGTATTATTGTTTTGGTTGGTTATGGAGTCGTTTCCGGAATAAGGGATAATTAAGTGAAATTTTTGAATTTGTTATATGGTGATTATTTTTTATATTGAACATGGTGATAGAGATTGTCTTGGGATTTGGGGAAGGAAGCTCTTTTCAATGTTGGGTTTGAGATGTTAATCTCAACTTTGTTTAATAAAGGTGGAAATTTGGGGTTTAGTCCCCTCTTTTTTTTTCTCTGAGCTGCTGTTGGAAGTATATTAATCAATTAGTATGAAATTTATAATCGGGGACTAGCAAAGTGGAAAACTGGAAAAACAGATATTGGTATCGATGCCATATTAAACCAAAAGAGCGAGACATTGTATTGTCTCTAATCTCTATGTAACATTTGATTCTCACCAGTGTAAGTAAAAGCAGGTAAGGTGATCATTTGGTGTTAAGGGCTTTCTTTAGTTTTTTTTTCCGTTGGATATGAGATTAGTGAGTCAGACTGCTTTTGCTTTTTTGCTTGCTTTGTTAAAGTGGAGTAATATTTTAAAGGTTTTATCTTTTGACAGATGGAGGACGGCAAGATGTCTGAGGATATTTTGACTTCAGCTGCGGCATTTGTTGAGGGTGGAATTCAGGATGCCTGCGATGATGCTTGCAGCATATGCCTTGAAGCATTTTGTGACAGTGATCCTTCTACAGTACGTAGTTCACATTATCCCGTGTTAGTGTTAGCAGAATTGGCTTTTAAATGGAGTAATATAATTTTTCAACGTGCAGGTGACTGGTTGCAAGCATGAGTTCCATCTTCAATGTATTCTTGAATGGTGATCCAAATATTCCCTATTAATTAGATATCTCATGTCTAACACTTATCTCTATGATGCATAGTGCTTTTTTATGACTTCCCAAAAAGGTGATATTTTGTGGACATTGATGGCTGCCTAAGGGCTTTTATTGTTCCTCTAATGTTGTAAAGATGAGTTGTAGGCTTTCTTGCGGAAAATTAGAATGCTCTATGAAGTGCCTCTGGTGGGAACACACAAACTAGATGTAGAGTATTTTGACAACGTTAAAGATCCAAATACTGCAATTAAGCATGTCATTAGGCTTTCTCAATTAAAAAAAATGACATGGGGCTTTTGAGTTTGTATTTTCATGTGATATATTCCTCTGTTGCCCAACTTTTGGGTTCCATGGTTTTCTTGGAGGATTATATGCTCCTACTTGAAGAGTTTGCTTGAAGATGTAAGAGATAGGTGGTCATTATGATTTCAGCATTGTGATTCTTTCTGATTAATATTAATAAGATACCCATAAATAAATGATGCTTGATGTTGCTCACTGATTGTATAGATGATGTAGAATATAATCCCAATTGATGACTGAGAAAAGGGTGTGAATCCATAGTCTTTATCCATGATTTTTGGCGTTCCATCTTATCTATTAAGCTTTTATACCCAACTTCCTGCGAAGGAGGCCCAAAGAGCAGGAGGAGGGGGTTTGCTGTTACTGTTGGTTCCTTGTTGTGTCTGTTTAGGACGATAAAAGAGTGAGCAAAATAATGACAAATGACTTCTTGATGCTCTAAATATCTCCTATTTACTATTGTTCCGACCAAATTCATGTGGAAAGTTAAACTTAAGTGGCATTGATCAATTGAATCATGATTGTATCCGCTATTTCTGATATTAAAATTAGAAAAAAGGTAAAATTGGAGCATTTGATTCTCTTATTTTAAATTTAAATTTTTGGAACTAAGTTTTATTCATTCGAAATTGTATTTGTCAAGGAAGATTATCAGTTGATAGATTATGAATTTTTGGATCTTTGGCTGTATATGCTGCAATTACTGAGACTGAAGGCACGAATAGAGCTTAATTTGAAAGCACTAATATCATGAATAAATTTAATGTATGTGCTGTAGGTGTCAGCGAAGCTCCCAGTGCCCTATGTGTTGGCAGGTTCTCAGCTTGAAAGACCCTAACAGGTTCGGTCTTATTCTCAAATCAGCCACTTGTTTATCAGTTTGTGATCTTTCTTAGTCCTCCTTCAATGCTGTCGATAAATGTGCTTCTCTTTCAGCCAGGAATTGTTGGTTGCAGTAGAGCACGAGAGAAACATCAGGATGAATCCTCCTAGAAACACCACAATCTTTCACCATCCAACTCTAGGAGATTTTGAATTACAGCATGTTAGCATTTCTGAAGTCCACGAAAGTTTTTTCTTCTTATAAGCTGTTAATGATCCATTTTGTGAAAAAATCTTGTATGTTTCTTTCACAGTTACCTGTAAGTGCAACTGATTCTGAACTTGAAGAGCGTATCATTCAGCACTTAGCTGCTGCCGCTGCCATGGGAAGGACACGCCACCTTGCCAGAAGGGAAGGTCAGCAAGGTAGGTCATCAGGTCAAGGTCATCCCCATTTTCTGGTGTTTTCAACTCATCCAAATGCTCCTCCTCCTGCTGCTGCTGCTGCTTCATCTTCTACTCAAAGGAGTGGGGGTGTACCCGCTCCTGCATTCTTGGTTTCTGGTCAGGATTCTCCAATTGTTGCTGTTGGAGAAGGTTCTGGACAACTAGTCACTCAACCATCTTCTTTTCAAGCTGATCAGGTTTCTGCCTCTGGGTCAGGATCAAATGCTGCTGTTAATCAACTTGGGACTTCGTCAAATGATAGGTGTGTTTATTTGTCAAGCTTGGTTGAGATTTGATGGTTCCTCTTTTCTTTTGCTCTATGTGGGTTACATAATTACAGTCATGGGAATGGATCCTCCAAAAATAAAATGAGTTTGCAACAATTACCAAAAGAAAGCCAACAGCCTCACCCTTTCTAGATAGGGGCACAACAAAAAGGCCTTCTTGTGGAATTTTCCCTTTTTGATGGCTATCTCATTCTTCTTAATTCCCGATCATGAAGAGTTGGTGAACAAGAAAGATACCTTAAATCTTGAATTTTAAGGGGGGGG